AGGGGGGGGAGGGAGGGAGGGAGGAGGAAGGAGCAGCAGCAGACGACAAACGACGAGGAGAGAGAAAGGAAGAGGAAGCGAGCGGGGGGGGCAAGCCCCAAAAAGGCGGCGACGCGCGACGCGCGCACCATGCTCTCCAAGCACGGCGGCCGGGGGGTGGAGGAGAAAGGAGGGAGGAGGAAGGGACGCGGCGGACGACAGCGAGAACGACAGCGGCAGGCAGAAGGAGAAAGGGAGGGGGAGGAAGGGGGAGGGAGGGGAAGGGAGGGAAGAAGGGGCGAAAAAGAAAGACGGATATTAAACGGGAGGAAGCCAATCCCTGCAGCCGCGCAGGCGGTGATGTGCGAGCGGGACGCGGCAACTGAAAAGATGCGCCCAGTCAGGGCCGGAATTCGCCACATCACGCATTAGAGCTTGCAAACGAGACTGAAATTCGTGAACTGACGGAGCAGCGACCACGCTGTCTGGGAGGAGGTTATAGACGCTGACAAGGCCTAGCACGGAGCGCCGGGCAAAATCTGGGGCACGAAGCTGGAGAGGGTCAGCCAGGTGCCGGGCGTGGCGACGAGGGGAACGAGGAGGGGGAGGGGGGGCAGGGCGAAAGAAAGAAGCGAAATGGCCAGGACTGAGACCTAGCACAGAACGATGGATAACCCCAAGCATTGCGATGTCTCTTCTTGCGCACAGCAGAGCCAAGGCAAAGTGATTGAGGGCATCAAGATCAGAAATGTCCAAGCAACGAAGAAAACTGTTTTGAATGGCGTCACGGGGAGCGAGAGCAGAGGAAGAAACGAAATGGAATGCACAGGTCCTATATTCGATAAAAGATAAAACTTGGGCCTTGTATAAAGGGGGAAGGGTCTTGCTAGCAGAAGGTGCCGCGCAGCAAAGAACCTCACCTTGGAGAGGGTGCCGCACAGAAAAGGGGCACATACAACACCAAGGATTCCTTTTTCGTCAACTCGGGGAGGGGTCTTGCCTAGCAGAAGGTGCCGCGCAACAGATGAGGCACGCCTAACACCAAGGATTCTTTTGAACATTGAACTGGGAAGGGCCATTGCATAACAAAGGGTGCCACACAGCAGATGGGGCATGTCTAGCACCAAGGATTCTTTTTAAATCAACTTGGGGAGGGGTCTTGCCTAGCAGAAGGTGCCGTTCAGCAGATGGGGCACGTCAAGCACCAAGCATTTTTTTAAACAACTCGGGGATGGCCATTACCCAACAACGGGTGCCACACAGCAGATGGGGCACGTCTGCTGGGATTCTTTTTAACTCAACTTGGGAAGGGGTCTTGCCCAACAAAGGTGCCACACAGCACATGGGGCACGTCTAGCACCAAGGATACATTTTTTATCAAGTTGGGGGTGGGTCTTGCCTAACAGAGGGTGCCGCACAGCGACAGGGCACATCTAGCACCAATAATTATTTTTTTAATCAACTTGGGGAGGGGTTTTGCCTAGCAGAGGGCGCCGCGCAGCACATGGGGCACGTCTAACATCAAGGGTTTGTTTTATCAACTTGGGGAGGGCCATTGCATAACAAAGGGTGCCACACAGCAGATGGGGCACGTCTAGCACCAAGGATTCTTTTTTAAATCAACTTGAGGAGGGGTCTCGTCTAGGAGAAGGTGCCGTTCAGCAGGTGGGGCACGTCAAACAGAAAGGATTTGTTTGACCAACTTTGGGAGGGCCATTACCCAACAAAGGGTGCCACACAGCAGATGGGGCACGTCTAGGATTCTTTTTAACTCAACTTGGGGAAAGGTCTTGCCTAGCAAAGGTGCCACACAGCACATAGGGCACGTCTAGCACCGAATATTAATGTTTAATCAAGTTGGGGGTGGGTCTTGCCTAACAGAGGGTGCCGCACAGCGAAGGGGCACATCTAGCACCAAGAGTTCTTTTTTTTTTAACTTGGGGAGGAGTCTTACCTAGCAGAGGGCGCCGCGCAACACATGGGGCACGTCTAACATCAAGGGTTTGTTTTATCAACTTGGGGAGGGGTCCTGCCTAGCAGAGGGTGCCGCACAGCAAATGGGGCTCGTCAATCACCAAGGGTTCCATTTAATCAACTTGGGGAGGGGTCCTCCAGTAGGGGTCTTGCCCCGAAGAGGGTGTTGCACAGCGGATGGGGCATGTCTAGCGATTCTTTTTAAATCAACTTGGAGGGTGGTCTTGCCTAGCAGAGGGTGTCGCATCGCAGATGGGGCACGCGTTGTGTTAGACACGGGGAGCGTGGAGTAAAATGGCACTTGCAAATCACATTTGGGAGGGGAGCACGTTTAATACTGGGCATGGTGAAGAGAAAAACCATTTTCACAAGGAACAACGTCTTTACTGGAAATAGCGTCTTCACTAAGAACATAGCGTCTTCACCGGGAATAGCGTCTTCACCGGAAATAGCGTGTTCACCCAAAAGAGAGTCTTCACCATAAATAGCGTCTTCACCCCGAATAGCGTCTACATCGGAAATGGCGTTTTCACCCGGAATAGCGTCTTCAGGAAAAAAAAGTCTTCACAAAAAATAGCGTCTTCATCCAAACTAGCGTCTTCATCGGGAATAGCTTCTTCACCAAGGATAGCATCTTCACTAGGAATATAACGTCTTCACACGGAATAGCGTTTTCACCGCAAACAGCGTCTTCACCAAGAATATCGTCTTCACCGGGAATAACGTCTTCATCGGGACTGGCGTCTTCACCGGAAATACCGTGTTCATGCGCAATATCGTCTTCACAAGGAAACGCGTCTTCACCCACACTAGCGTCTTTACCGGGAACAGCGTCTTCACCGGGAATAGCGTCTTCACCGGGAATAGCGTCTTCACACGGAATAGCGTCTTCACAAAGAATAGCGTCTTGACCGGGAATAGCGTCTTCACCAGGAATAGCGTTTTCACAAAGAATAGCGTCCTCACAGAGAATAGCGTCTTCACTGGGAGTAGCGTTTTCAAAGGGATAGCGTCTTCATGAAAGAAGTGCTGTCCTTGTCCGCAGAACGTGGTTTGTCAACGGGAATAGCGTCTTCACCCGGAATAGCGTCTTCACCGTCTTCACTGGGAATAGCGTCTTCAGCCGGCATAGCGTCTTCACGTGGAATAGCGTGTACACCGTCTTCACCAGGAACAGCGTCTTCACGAGGAAAAGCGTCTTCATTGGGACGCGTCGTCACAAAAAATAACATCTTCACCGAAAATACCGTCTTCACCAAAAATAACGTCTGCACCGGGAATAGCGTCTTCACCGGGAATAGCGTCTTCACCGGGAATAGCGTCTTCACCGGGAATAGCGTCTTCACCGGGAATAGCGTCTTCACCAGGAATAGCGTCTTCACAAGGAATAGCGTCTTCACTGGGAATAGCGTCTTCACACGGAACAGCGTCTTCACACGGAACAGCGTCTTCACAAGGAATAGCGTCTTCACAGCGAATAGCGTTTTCAGAAGGAATAGCGTCTTCAGAGGGAATAGCGTCTTCATAGGGGAAGTGCTGTCTGTGTCCGCAGAACGCTCCTTTCACAGGGTAGAGTCTTCACCCAAAATGGCGTCTTCACCGTCTTCACCGGGAATAGCGTCTTCAGCCGGCATAGCGTCTTCACCCGGAATAGCATCTACACCGTCTTCATGGGAATAGCATCTTCTCAAGGAAAAGCGTCTTCACTGGGACGCGTCGTCACAACGAATAGCGTCTTGAAATAGCCTCTTCGGCGCCGGCGCGAACTGGGAACCCTGGTTGCCAGGACAATGTTTACATGTATATGTACATATCTATAAAAATAGAACACGCATATACACATCGTTTATACACATCTGTACACATATGTGTATGTGCGCGCATGACCTGCGCGAATACAACTGCCGACCAAACCAACTAACGGGGCTAGAAATATGTGGTGCCCACGACGGGATAATCATCCGGGCAACCGTCTCCGTGCATCGAGCAACCTCTATGTGTCTATCTATCTGTCGATCACTCTATCGTTCTCTATCTCTATCAAACCCACTAACCTTCATGTCGATCCCACAATAAATCTATGGCTCCATCTCACTATCCATCTAGCCGCCCTCAATATACAATCATCGATTCCAGTGTCCATCGGCTTCACTGTCTTGGTACTGATCCCACCATCAAACAATGCATGCACCATCGGGACGGGACAATCGTCGGGATAACCTCTATCGGCCTATCGATGTATCGGTCACATTACCTATCTGTATATTTATAACTGTCATTATCTGTCTATGGACCCAGTGAGGGCTCCAAGACGGCCCAAGCTGTCCACAAGACGGCCCAAGAGGGTGAACACGAACTGAGATTTGAAGCCCTCCGCCCCATCGTGGTCCACGACACCCCCAGACGGCCTCCAAGAAGCTCCCGAAAAACCTCCCAATAGATTCCCACGAACATCCGAGAAAGCTCTGACCTACAACCCTTGCGCGGTGGCAGGGTGGGCTGAAAGCCACTATATGTACATGAACGCAATACATCGCTGTCTGCGCTGTAATGCACTATTAATGTGTTACCAAAAGGCCTCTAGAGAAGACTGACTACGTCGGAAGGTCCAGAAAGGGCACGCGAGCACAGTCATGACAAGGCAGATGCGAATCTAAGTCTCGATTGCGCAAAAAGGAATAGAAACAAATGCGCACCATTCTTGATAGCCTTCAACATGGACTAAAGAAGACCCCCCGAGCAAACGCGAGCTTCCAACATGGTCTTGCTCCACATGGCCTCGACTAATCATCCCTTCCACGGATCCGCTTAGGCTCTTCCACTTCGCTTCATAAGGCACCTCACTCAAGAACTGTTTCCGGGTTGACTGCTGGGAATGCACGAACAATGGCATACATCGTGATCATTACAATGTTATGCTAAGGCCGCTGTTATCTTTGCTGATCCGTTTGTTAGCTTTCCGTGGTCGTTTGCCGCTCGATTGAAACCTATGCGTCTACTGCTAGATCTGAAACCATGCGCGCAACAACGCCCCCGTCCCCGTTGTCTCCGGGTCGCCCGAGACATTGTCCCTACGTGCGCCAATTTCCCGTGTGTAAGTATAATAAAGCAAATTGCGCCCGAAAGCGAACGAAATTCGAATTACAAGACGGATGACGCTTGTATCGGCCACGGTAAACATCCGATGGTGCCACAAATCATTCGTATCCGGCATCCAGGTATTCGAAGAAGCGTGCAATTCGGCCCGCAGCGCGCGCTTGCAATCGTGGGGCCTTGCTCGGTAAGATCTTGTGCAACACGTAACTATCGCTGCGCAGTGCGATTCGAGCGTTGGGCTTGCAGTCATCGATGTTAATCTCCTTGTCGATGTCTACCACGTACTTCCCCTCCTGATGGGCAGGCAGATCTTGCCTTTATTCTTCGCTCTCTTCCTCCTCCTCCTCCCCATCCATGCTGGTCGTCGTCTCCTCTCTCCCTCCTCTCTCTCCTCTTCCATCCCCCCTCCGCCTCCTTTTTCTGCTCCCCGTCCTCCGTCCATCTTTTTCTGTCCTGCCTTGTCCTCTCCAATCTTTTCCTGCTCTCTTGCCCCTCCCAAACCCTACGGGCTCCGGCAACGCGTCACGGCTTTCGGGAGGCGAGGACACAGAGCAGCGGCTGTAGCGGCAATGAGCACGGCGGCGGCCACGGCAACCTTCTCGGAGCGTCGGAAGGCTGGCGACGGCGGTGGAGGAGCCGTGGAGAAAAAGGAAGGGGAAGGAGGATAAGGACCAGCAATAACGGAAGCAAGGAAAGGACCCTATCGCCTCACCCTAACCTGGTCGCACAGCTTGCGCCCTCGAGGAGGTCCAGGCACTGCTAGGGAGGGCGGGGGGAGGGGGATGAAGAAGGGGGGAGAGAGCCGACGGGGAGGGAGAAAGTGGTTGACACCGCCAGTCTGTGTTTTTTCGTGGCTTGCCCAAGTGGAAGGAAAATGAGGGGGGGGAGAGAAAACGGGGGTGGGTTTCCCGACTTCCACCGAAACCTGCGCGTTTGGCTAAGGTCCGTCCCGCCGCCCTCCCACCCACCCTTCCGGTCCCCGCCTAATCCCACCAGCCCTCTGGGCGTCGGTTGTTTAGAGGATTTCCTCTTCCACCCCTCCTTCTTCCCCTTCGGGGAGGGGTTTACCCCTCCCCCTACCCCCTCCCCATGGACCTGGACAAAGGGTTCCGCGAGGTGTCGGAGCGTCCAAAACGGCCTCGGCGAGGAAGCAACAATATTTGGCTTTACTAGGGTTTGGCCCCATCTTGGATGATATCGGTCAACGAAGGGGGCCCCTTCGTTGACCGATGTCATCCAAGATGGTCCCAAGAGAGCCTCTAAAGCTTCCAAGAACGCCCCGGCAAGGCCCCCAAAGGAGCCCAGACGGGCCCAAGAGGCGGCCAGGAGGCCCCAAGAGGCCCCAGGATGACCCCAAGATAGCCCCCAAAATGGCCCCAAGAGACCCCCAAAAGACCCCCAAGAGGACCCCAAGTGGCCTCCCCGAGGCACCCAAGACGCCCAGGAGTCCTCAGGACCGCCAAGAAACCCCCGAGACGTCCCAAGAGGCTTCAAAACAACCGCCCACGAGATATCCCAAGGGGCTCCGAGAGGCATTCAAGAGACCTCCAAGAGACCCGAAGAGGCTTCACGAGGCTCCCCGAAGCCCCCCAAGATCCCCCCCAGCGGCTCCAAGAGGTTTCCCAAACAACCCCCAAGAGACATCCTCATATGATCATATGTCCGCCCTGTTTCCTCCTCCTTCTCCTTCGCGCCCCCAGACGTGTCCGTAAGGCAGGCCGGGCGTTTCGCCTGAGACGCCCTTGTCGTTGATAACCTTGAGGATTCGCATTTGTCACTACTAGAAGAATGGGGCACAGGTCGTTTGCATAGTGGAGCTCTCGCCTTAGCGCCGCGCACAGCTGCAAGGATGGAGGGGGGTCGCTTTTAAAATGGAGCTCTCGCCTAAGCGCCGAGCACATTCGTCTGACACATTGCCGCCGTTATACGGAGGTGAGGCCATGTTCAAAATGGAGCTCTCGCCTCAGCGCTGTGCGCACTCGTCTAAAGACGATGCAGCAACTACGAGGTCGGAGGGGTGTCGCTTTCAACACGGATCTTTCGCCTTAGCTCCGCGCGCATTCGCTTCAAAAGTTCGCAGCGTTTCACTGGATGGATGGTGAACTCTTCTCTTTTATACGGGGCAATCACTTTCGCACCGCACAAACTCGTCTTACAAAGCAACATGGATGGGAGGACTGCCTCTTTCAAAATGGGCTCTTCTTTGAGACCTCCTCAATCTAGCATATGTAGCAGCTACACGGATAGAGGGCGGTTCCTTCTTCAAATTTGGCTCTCGCTAGACTCCTATGGGAATTCTTGACATTACTTGTACATGTGTGCAACAGTTCCACATGTGGGGGCAATCCTCTGTCAGTGTAGGGTCTCACTGTGCACGTCGTTGACTTGTATGATGATAGCTTTTCACATATCTGATTCTGCGCTACGGGCCCTCGCCTAAATGGCAAGCCCATAGGTTGCTTGTCTTTCAATGGGGCACTTCGTTGAGTAACCACCAAGGCTTGTAGGGACCTATGAGAAGGGCACTTGAGACGGGATGGCGTTTGGCAGGATTGTTGAGTCATCTATGGTTCAAGATGTTGTTCCTCTTCCTCGTCGTCGCGCCGTCGTCGCCGCCGTCACCGTCGCCGTCGCCGTCGCAGTCGCCGTCGTCGCCGTCGCCGTCGTCGTCGCCGCCGCCGTCGTCGTCGTCATCGACGTCGTCGTCGTCGTCGTCGTCGTCGTCGTCGTCGTCGTCGTCGTCGTCGTCGTCGTCTGCGTCGTCTGCGTCGTCTCGCTGTCTCTGCCTCTTCCACTGTCTCTGTCTGTGTGTGTGCGTGTCATTCTCTCTCTCTCTCTCTCTCGCTGCCAATCTGCTTTCCCATTCACGCATGGAGAAGCTCTCCTAGTGTACACAAAACGCAGGACAGCACGTCCCAGCACAGAGGTCGGACCTCGTTTGTGGACGACTTCGAACATCTGGGCCCCGCCTCTTCCTCCTTTCCCTCCTCCTCTCCTTCATCTTCTCCCCCTCCCTCCTCCGCCGTTTGTCGGCTTCGAACTCTTGGGCCCCGCCTCTTCCTTCTTCCCCGCCTCCTCTTCTCCATCTTCTTCCTCCTCTCCTCCATCTCCTCTTCTCCTCTCCTCCTCCTTCTCCTCCTCCTCCTCCTCTCATCCCTCTTCCTCCATTCCCTTTCTCCTCCGCCGCTGCTCCTCCTCCTCCTCCTCCTGCCTTTCCTCCCCATTCTTCTCGCAGAGGGGGCGCCTGTCCCACCTTAACGAGAACCTTCTGTTTGCCCATCGCCTTGATAACCTCACCGCAGTTGGATGCAGGCTCCAGAAGCATGTGCAACTCCTTGGGGCGTTCATCCCTCCTCTTCTCCCACCTTATCTCACTCCCGTTCTCCTTCTTCCACTTCGCCTCCTCCTCTCCCTCATCTTTCAATGTCATTCCTGCCTCGATACGTACGTCACTTTTGTCCTTCTCGATCACAGGAATGCTAGACAAAAACAACATTTTCACGTTCAGGGGAGGGACAGAACCGCCAAATGAGTGCAAGCGCAATAGTACGCGTAACGGTAGTAAGCGCCTGGGCAGGATGCGTAGAAATTGTCGCACGAGCACGACGCACCAAAGCCCAAGAAGCGTACGTAAATCATGCCGCATCGTGCGATGACCCTGTTCAAATTAACTGCAGCGAGTGGGCAGAACAGACATGCAGGCGTGGGGCCCCCTCCCCTCCCTTCCTTCTCCCCTTTCTTCTTCCTGCTCCCTCCCCTCCCCCCCTCCCCTCGAGGCGAAGAGGAAGGCAGAAGAGGCCACGACGGCAAATCTTGCTCTGGCACCTCCTGGCTCCTGGTTAGCGGCGACTCTGCGAATGCCGTGCCGAGGAGGAGGAGGAGGAGGAGGAGGAGGAGGAGGAGGAGGAGGAGGAGGAGGAGGAGGAGGAGGCCGCTGCTGCGAGGCAAATCCTACTTTTGCGCGGTGTATGGGCGAGCCCGGCAATGCGGTCCAAACGCCTCCCGTGCTCGTTCGGAGTCTGCCGATCTCGGGCCAAGGTCGGCACTCAGCCTGAAGCGCCCGCGCCGGGCCGTCGCCGCGCCAGCGCGGCGAGAGCCTGCCGCAGGCTGGGAGCAAACGGGCGGCGAGGACCAAGCAGGAGATGGAGAAGGGGAGGAGCAGGAGGAGGAGGAGGAGGAGGAGGAGGAGGAGGGGAGGAGGAGGGAGGGAGGAGGAGGAGGAGGAGGGAGGAGGACTGAGGACGAACGATGATGATGATGAGGAGGAGGAGGAGGAGGAGGAGGAGGAGGACTGAGGACGAATGAGGACGAGGAGGAGGAAGAGGGAGAGGTGGGGCAGAAGGCGCAGCCGAGGGCAGACGGGCGGGGCCGTGTGGAACGAGGGCCGCCCGCGGCAGTGCTGCGGCGGCTGCAGGCGCCCGCCCCGCTCCCTGGACCCGCTGCCGCAGGACCGCCCCGTCGCGTGGGTCCGAGGGGCGGGCGGTGACCGCCAGGCTGCTCGGCCGGGACGGGCGAGTGCTCCAGCCGGCGGTGCAGCGCAGCAGGCGTCGCTGCCGAGCTGCGGAGCTGCCGAGGCTCGAGGCGAACGCGCCCCCGGACGCGGCCGACGGAAGCAACGCGCGGGCGCCCACGGGGCCGAGGGGGGTGATCGTGGAGAAACCGCTCGTCGCGGGTCGTCGTGCGCCACGACGCCGTCCAGGGTGCCGCCGTGCAGTGCGACGACGCGGTGGTCGTCGCTGCTCGTGCTCCCGAGGCCGGGTGCTCCAGGTCCCTGGGCGGGGCGTGTCCGTCGCCCGTGCGCCCACCTAGTGATAGCCGCAAGCCCGCACACATTCGAGGTCGAGAAGAACAGCGGAGCTCCGTAGTGGTAGCCGCCTTAGCGCCCAACAGCGATCCGAGTCATGGCGCCCTCTGGGGAGGGGTGGAGAAACTGAGCAGTACATTTGCGGGTGTCACGCCGTATTCGAACGAGCGGAACCGCAACGGCAGCGCCGGGCCAGGACGTGGCGATACTCCAAATGGAGGATGAGCATCTTCGGACGTCGATTTCGCACATGTCCCAGTAGTAAGTAGTGATCTGGGTGCGGCCTGTCGCGAGCAGGTGGGACGACTCAAGGGAGCACGGACGCAAGTCCTGGGCCAAAACGAACTTTCTGCTAGCGGTAGAGTCGTGCAGCGGTGCCGCGGTGAATGGGCGGCTGCATTCTGGTGCGAGACACGATGGGCGGGCCTGCTTCGACTGCCCGATCAAATAAACGAGCTGCCCGCTCCAGCCACTGCACATTCAAGAGAGCCATGCGTCGGCACAGCTGGCAAGACTGGCTCCGACGGCTGAGACAGACGCACTCAAATCCCGAAGTGTAAGTGATGAAACGGATTTTGCAATCACATCGGATTGTTCAATGCGACCGCGTACGCCCACATTCACAGCTCTGGCGTTTCGCGGGATTTCTCGAATGTGCCCACAGCTGCAAGAGCACAGCGTGGTAGCCCATCGGGTCCTGCTCGCCCTTGCAAGTTCGCGCATCGACTCTCCTAAGATAGCAAACTGCTGATCGTCCTCGTACTTGAAGCCTCCGAGACGAAGTGGGGGTGACGTCGGCCGTCTGGTCTTGAAGTGACAGCTGATGGCCTGAAGGCGACGTGAATCGCTATCTCGCTCGGAGTCGCAGAGATGCAAGACAGCACGTGCAAGGCAACTTGTTGTGAGGCGTGCACGCGTCTATGCTGCGCACCTCCACCACCTCCGGCATCTCCTCCTTGCCATTCCCCCCTGACTCGTCCAACTCACTGGTGTTCATACTGGCACTACTCCTGCCACAGCCAGTTGCAGCAGCGGCAGCAACGGCTGCAATACTCATGCAAATCTCGCTACTCCTGCTGCCACTACTGCGATTCTCAGCACCGCTACAGCTACCATGGCAATCGTTCCCAACACCATGGTATGTGACCGATTGCGCAACGCCGCTGCCGTCGCAGCTGCCGCAAACTACTCCTGCCTCTGCCTCTCCCCCCTTGTCCGAGCAGTCCTCGCGGAGCAAGCGCACCCGCCCGTTCAGCTCGTTCCGCTGCGCCTCCAATCGCCTCGCCGCTGGCATAAGGGGGGGCACCGTGACCCCCTCTGGCCCCTCGCTGTGTGCGGAGGAGGGAAGGATCAGGGAGCCAACCCTGCCCGAGATCCGTAGGATGAAAACGATCGAGGGTGTCCCCTCTGAGGCGAAGAGAATCTCAGTGTCTATGTCAAAGGCTGCGCCAATGGATGACCATGTCAATGTCAACACCCGAGCCGACAGGGCAGCGGATGAGAAGAGGAAAGAGGTGATAAATATTACACGCGCACACGCTGTCCCAGGGGGGGGAGGGGGAATACGACCGATCCCAACCACTTCGGACTGTTCAGGAACTACTTCGGTCGGATTGCAACCACTGAAAACGGACTGATCGCAATCTAAAGGATTCCTATACAAACCTGTCAGGAGAACACCGGATTGCATCCGATCCAAAAGCTCCTGCTGAGGCCTCTGAACGGCTTCTCAGAGGCCTCTGAAAAAGCTTCTCTGAGGCTCTGAAAGGCTTCTCTGAAGCCCCTGAAAGGCTTCTCTGAGGCCTCTGAAATGCTTCTCTGAAGCCTCTGCGAGGCTTCTGGGAGGCTTTTGAAAGGCTTCTGAGAGGCTTGTGGGAGGCTTGTGGGAGGCTTCTGAGAGGCTTGTGGGAGGCTTCTGAGAGGCTTGTGGGAGGCTTCTGCGGGGCTTCTGAAAGGCTTCTGAGAGGCTTCCGAGGGGCTTCTGAAAGGTTTCTGCGAGGCTTCTGAGAGGCTTCTGAGAGGCTTCTGAGAGGCTTCTGCGAGGCTTCTGAGAAGCTTCTGAGAGGCTTCTGAGAGGCTTCTGAGAGGCCTGCCCCGCAGGCCCCACAGGTCCCACAGGTCCTGCGTGTCGCACGGGCGCCAAAGGTCTCGCAGGCCGCGCAGGGCGCACACGTCCCCCAGCCATGGTTCCCACAACCACCACAGGCCCAAACCGCCTGGCGTCGTGACAACATCTGTTTTTGTTTCGGGCTCGGGGGACCATCGCCGGGCCCGGGAGTGACTCAGTATGCAATGCTGGTCTACTGTAGGTTCATGCGGCGTTGGCGCGCCTTCGACGTTGGCGAAGGCGCTCAAGGCTGCATTTTGCGACGCGGAAACACCGAGGGACACGTTGGGCCCACTGTACCCGACGAAATTCAACATTGAACGATCGGGGCCGCGATCGATTCAAGGTTGAACGATCCACGCGGTGCCAGAAGCCTTGAGGGTGCCGACGCCGCACGAACCTCCCGTAGGGGAATTCGTCCAGACCTCAGGGGGTCGACGTCCTGGAAAAGTCATGACGTTGGGGGTTTGGGCCGCCGCGTCTACCCGCCTTGCCATCCAGTCCTCTTCCGTTTCCCCCCTCGTCCTCCTCCTCCTCCTCCTCTTCTTCATCCTCCTCCTCCTCCTCCTGCTCCTGCTCCTCCTGCTCCTGTCCTTCCTCCCTCCCCTCTTCCTTCTCCCTTCCTCCTCTTCCTCCTCCTCCTCCTCCTAATCACAATCCCTCTCCTCCCTCCTCATCCTCCTCCTCTCCTCCTCCTCCTCCTTCCTCCTCCTCCTCCTCCTCCCTCTCTCCTCCTCCTCCTCTCCTCCTCCTCCTCCTCCTTCCTTCTTCTCCTCCTCCTCCTCTCCTTCTCCTCCTCCTCCTCCTCCTCCTCCTCCTCCTCCTCCTCCTCCCTCCTCCTCCTCCTCCTCCTCCCCTCCTCCTACTCCTCCTGAGATGCAACTCCATTCACGCCACGCGTTTTCGCTCAATTTCGGTCTCAACCGTATACGAATCACGTAGGAGTTGCATACGGATCATGGCCACGTTCGAGCTCCAATACATGTGTTTAGCTGAGATCATGATCGGCCGTCTGTGATCGCACCGGTCGCAACCGCTTTTTCAAATTCCCCTTGGGCGGCTTAAGAGAACTCATTGAACCCAGAAGCGCTTTTATGATCTCTTCCTTAATCAAAACCTTATTGCAACGACCCAGAAACATCGCAACCACTTCGGACCGATCGCAACTGGTTGCGATCGGTCCGAAGCGGTTTACGATCGGTCCGAAGTGGTTGCGATCGGTCGTGCTCGCGGGGGGGAGGGCGGCGAAAGCTGTCAAGCCCGAGCCGAGGCAGTGGCGCGGTTCAATGCGGCGGGTAGCCCCCGGAGGACGCCGCCGCGGCGAGCGAGAGCCGGGCCATGCCGCGGGCACGTGGCCCAGACAGCGCGGGCGACGCAGGGAGACCGTCTGGCCCCGCGCCTCGGCAGACGAGCGGCAGAGGCGTGCGCACCATGACGGGGACGGCGGCGGCGGCGAGACCGCTCCACGGCCACGGCCGCGGCGACCACTGCGGCGACGGCGGCGGCGGCGGCAACGACGACGGCCACGGCGGAAACGACGATGGCGGCGGCGGCGGCGGCCGCAGGCGGTTCCCGATGGGGCCGCGCAGGGCGGGCCGGGCGTGAGCGGCTCAGCGCACCAGGGGTGGCGAGGGCACCGCCAGCAGCAGTGGTGGCGGAGAGGAGGGGGCCTCCAGGAGCTGGCCGGGACCCGAGAGCTGACGATTGGAGTGTTGGCTCGCTGGGACGAAGGTGGCCGTCGTGAACGTCGGCCCCGATGGGCGTGCAAGTGGGCAGACGGGGGGGGATCTCTGAGCTCGATGGGCAGACTCGTTATTGAAAATCTTGCTCGGGTGTGGCAACCTGGTAGCCGTGATTTTCAGTGCCAGCCACGCTGCGTGCACGAGGTGGGCTGCAGCGTGGCTCACGGACTGCACGGCTGTTGCCCGTACGGCGGGGCTTCGCAGAGCGCTACCCACCAGCCCCTCGGCGTTCGGGCCAGTGGCCCCTGCAAGTGCCGACGCTCGTGCTGACCCATCCTCGTCGCACCATCAAAAGCGAGCCAAGGTTCCAGTCATCGTCACGCCCCGGCCTCTCCATCTCTCGTCCTGATGGATAACTCCTCCCTGTCGCGCCACCACACGTGTCGGCAGGCCAGGACGGGCGCTTCGCGGGAGTCTTCCTCGCCCTATGCTATCCTAAAGCTAGAAAGCTCCAACACTAACAAGGATGGAGGGCTGATCGTATTCAAAATTCGGCTTTCGTCTTAGCGTCGTGCACGGTCGCCTCAAAAGCTTGCAATAATCAAAAAGATGGAGGCTGGTACTCTTTCAAAGTGGGGCTCTCGCCTTGGCGCCGCGCACGCTCGCCTCGAAAGCTTGCAACAGCAACTGCAAGGATGGAGGGCGGCTCCTCAGGCCAGACGCCTGGACACCCGCCGGCCCTTTCTTGCCAGAGGTGCACGGGCGTGCGAGGCATTCGGGTACCCCCCCCCCACCCCCGTTCCCCAGACCCTCGTCCCTCCTCCCTCCTCCCTCCTCCCTCCTCCCTCCTCCTCCTCCTCCTCCTCCTCCTCCTCCTCCTCCGCCTCCGCCTCCTCCTCCTCCTCCTCCCTCCTCCTCCTCCTCCTCCTCCTCCTCCTCCTCCTCCTCCTCCTCCTCCTCCTCCGCCTCCTCCTCCTCCCCCTCCTCCAGCCAGGGGGGCGGGGGAGCTCTCCAGCGCAGCTCCCTGGCCCTCGGAGGCTCCAGGTCCACCTGCCACGGCCTCCGAGATGCCGCCTGAGACGGCTCAAGCGGGGCTCCAGCGCGCCAGCGAGACCTCCAGAACGCCCGCGATGGCCGCAGGACGGCCCAAGAGGCCTCGAAGACGCTCAAAGCGGGCCCAAGAGGAACCACAAGACTGCCTGTTTCTTTGGCCTCTGGATGATTTTCGCCTCCTCGCCATCTCAAATGCTTCTGAACTCTGAGGCGAGGAGCCCCCCGGATTGGCCCAGAACGGCCGAAGAAGCGTCCAAGAAGGCCCAGCTGGAGATGGGCCAAAAGGGTCCCAATACTGCGCAAGAGGCCCCCAAGACGGCCGAAAAGGCCGTCAAGAGGGCCCCAAGAAGGGCAGGGGAGGCCCAAGAGCGAGGGCACTTGGATCCGCCCCCCACAGGATGGTATCCGACACGCCCAAGATGTTCCCAAGAGACCCCCAAGACGCCATCACCCAAATGCACCCATGAGCTTTGAAAAGGCTCCCAAACAGCCACCCCCGAGGCCTCCAAGCAGCCCCCACAACAGACGCGGAGGACGGGGAAAAGCCAGAAACCGCTGGCCGCACGATGGGACGCGGCAAACAGCGCAAAGGATATCGGGCACCGCGCATCTTCTCTCCCTGGGGGAGGTGGAGTGGCGCACGCCTCTTGCGCATTTAGCAACAGCCCAGACCCCCGACGTCATGATTTCTTCATGACGTCGACCCCCAGAGATCTCGACCCATTCCCTGGGACCGGTTTCTCATCCCGAGTCGTTTTTCGACGGTACCGAGGTCCGGTGAGGGCTCCCAAAGGCCGAACATAGCGAAAAACCTCCCGTCGTGATTTTTTCACGACGCGAGGGGGTCTGGGAGCAGGGGTGGATTTTTGATTTCAAGTCGGGGCTCTCGCTTCAGACCGTGGATTCGTACAAGTTCAGCGGTCAGCCATGTGAGCCTGCACAACACTCGCACATGCCCGGACCAGTTCCTGTTCAAACTGAGACTCTCGCTGGACACCTCGTCGAACCGAGTGCTGGCGCATTTTTCCAGCTCCCTCCAGCACCGGCTGGAAGGCTGCAGGGCCCTTCCCAAAACAGGGGGCTCGTGCCTGAATGGCAGGCCCAAAGAGCGCTCGTCTTTCGAGGGGGCGCTTCTGGCAGTGAAAAGAGAAGCGTGCAGGGACTCCTGAGGAGGGGACTTGGGGATTGGAGGGCGTATTGCAGCCTCGTCGATGCATCCTGGCTTTACTCCAGGCCTCTTCATCCCCTTCCTCGGTCTCTCCCTCGTCGTCCACCTGCTCCTCCGTCTCCCTGTTCCTCTTGCCTCCTGCCTCCCTCGTCCTCCTTCTCCTCCCTCTGCTTTATCCTCCTGCCTCCTCCTCCTCCTCCTTCTCTCTCTTCTAGCCTCCTTCTCCCCTGGGCGATTTGACTTTTTCGCAACGCTGGTCCCCAGACCTCTTGACCCCCTCCCTGAGGCCAGCTTTCTATCCCGAACTGTTTTTTTTAATCCCAAGGCCTGGAAAATGGTAGGGGAGGCCCGACATGGCGAACAAAGACATAATCTGGCGCGAATGTTTCGCGACGCCCATCAAACCCAGGTCGGCAATTAATACATCGCCCCTGGACCTGACCATGGGTGCGCCCAGAGGGGAATCTCGAGCGAGAGTCTAGCCGTGGCAGCGCGACGCCCCCGGAGGCCCCCCCCCCAGATGCGACAAGCAACCCGAGCTGTCCTCGTCCTTGTCCTTCCTCCTCGTCCTCCTCGTCCTCCTCGTCCGCCTCGTCCCCACTCGTCGTCGTCGTCCTCCTCCTCCTCCTCCTCCTCCTGCTCCGCCTCTTCCTCCCGCGCGCGCGCGCCCCCGCGCGAAAACGACGACGTCGACGGCGATGCCGCCGCCGCCCACGTCCGCACCGCTGCCAGGGACCGCCGAAGGCCTGCGACCGCCGACGCCGCGCCCGGCGGGCGCCCGTCCGCCCGGCGGGCGCGCGGGCCGCCGAACGCTCCCGCAGCGCTGCAGGCGCCGACGACGGCGAGGACGACGGCGGCGCCGTCGGGGCGGTCGTCGGCCCCCCCTCGCGGCCCCTCGGGGGGCCTCTTGTTCATCCTGCGCTCCTTGATGGTGGACTCCAGCTCCTGGCAGGCGCGCCCCGCTGGGCTCCCCTCGGCCCGCCGCGGCCCCCGTGTGGGATCCCAGGGGCGGAGGCCCTGCGGGCACTGCGCACGCAGAGAGAGAGAGAGAGAGAGAGATCGCAGCGCCCCTGGATGGGCCCCCGGGCACTCGACGATCTGCTGGCCCGTGGTTGTCCCGCGGTGATCTGTTGCAGCGCGTGGCCCCAAGGCGGTCCCGGCCCCTTCACCCTGGGGATCGCTTCGCGCCCCGGATCCATCTCTGACGGCCCCTGGGGGGGCCGACGGCGGGCCCCAGAGGCCGAAGCCCAGGACCAAAGCCGGGACCGACAAATATCCTGCCGTCGAAGATCTGGGCTCGGGGGCTGGGGCGAGGCGGCGACGTCATGGATGCCACTGCCCAGCCGGACCAAACTGCGAAAGACCAAACGCACACGAACTTCCTTGCTCGAGCGCGCGCGGGCCGACGCGCAGCCGTGCCTGTCGTGCGAGGACCACTCTCAGCACGGCTCCGCAGGGCCCCGCGCAGCGCCGCCGGGCGACGGCGGCGCCGCTGGGCGAGGGCGCCTCCTCGGGCCCTCGGGGGGGCTGTCTGAGAGCACGGCCCAGCCAAACGAGCACGCTGGGCCGTCGCCCGCGCGCGGGTACGCGGGGGCGCGGCGCGCGGCTGCCTCTGCGCCCTCGCGCTGCCGCGCTGGAAAAGGGGGCGGCCCCCATCGGCACGGACACCCGACGGGCTCAGGCGAGTGTCTGGGAGGGGCGGAGGGGCGATATGGGGGGAGGAGGAGGAGGCGGAGGAGGAGGAGGAGGAGGACCAGTGTAAACCCAAGAGTCATCAACGATGTTGGAATTGACCTTTCCTCCAAGCTCCCTCTTCGTAGGCCCCTACAACGGTTCATTCCATTGAAGGAAGTGCCTCGTTGGAAGACGACCGTTTGAGTACCTTGAAACATGCCACAACATTGTTCTCGGGATTTCCACGCCACGGGTCAACCTGACTGCTGCGCCCTGACGAGCTGGAATCGTGCCAGAACGCCTTTCTTGGGATTTCAACACCGCGAATCAACATAATTGTTGCACCCGCGTAATCCTGAATCCTTCCCAGACACATTTCTTGGTACGCTGATCATGGGAATTCGTGGAACTCTTGCTATTTCTTTAAACGAATGCACTCGGCGCTAAGGCGAGAACCGCGTTTCGACAACGACCCGCCCTCAATCCGTGAAGCTCAGCAAATGTTTAAAACGAATATGCGCGGCGCTAAATCTAGATCCACATTTTGAAAACGACCCGTCGTCAATGTGTGAAACTGTTGCAAGTGTTCAAAAAAGAGCGTGCGCGGCGCCAAAGCGAGAATCACATTTTGAAAACAACCCGCCCTCAATCCGTGAAGCTCTTGCACATGTTCAAACGAATGTGCGCGGCGCTAAAGCGAGAACCACATTGTGAAAACGACCCGCCCTCAATCCGCGAAGCGCTTGCAATTTTTAAACGAATGTGCGCGCCGCTGAAATGCGAGAACCACATTTTGAAAACGACCCGCCCTCAATCCGCGAAGCTCTTGCGAATTCTTGAAAAGAATGTGCGCGTCGCTGAAATGCGAGAGCCACACTTTGAAAACGACCCGCCCTCCATCTGTGAAACTTTTGCCATTTTCAAGCTTCAATGTCATAACTGGTGAGGAAGCCTCAAGCGAAACGCCTGGCCCGCCCTAAAAAACCGGCCTCGCGGTGCGACAGGGAGAGGTTATTCATAAGGAAAAGGAATGGAGGAGGACGAGGAGGAGGAAGAGAAGGAGGAGGGGGACCAGTGTAAAAGATGCGTCAACGATGTTGCAATAAACCCTTCCTCCAAGCTCTGTCATGTCATAGATCGCTACAACAATCCCACCAGCACTCTGGGCGAAAGTGGTACAGCTCGCCTCCTCCCGCTCTCCCTTCTCCTTCCCTCCGCAGCGGAAGGCTTCTCAAGCCTGGAAGACGGAGGAGAAGCAAAGATGATCAGTGAGCGCGGCGCGGCGTGGAGGAGAGAATCGCATGCGCTGCGCGTGCGTGCCATCAACTTGATCCGGCACGATGCAGGACTTTCAAGCGGTTGTCTTCCAACGGGGCACTTCCTTCAGTATCGATGAGTCCTTGTGGAGGCCTATGGGGAGCTTGGAGGGAAGGCTCATTGCAATATCGTTGATGGGTCTTTGGTTTACACTGGTCCATCTCTTCCTCCGCAATTGCACTATGTGAATGCTACTCTCCTCTCTCCCCAGACTTTGTCCGGAGAGTGCCCCATCCTCTCCGCGTATTGTTTTTCTACACACAAGATTGCATTATTTGGTTTTTCCGATGTGAATTTACAATCCGGTCATTTCTGGCCTTTCCAAAATGGTGCTCCCGCTGCAGCGCCGCCCTCATTTCCGCGGTTCGGTCATTCAAAATCGTGCTCCCGCTGCAGCGCTGGCCTCGTTCCCGCGCCTCTGGACGGCACTTGGAATTCGAAAGCGCCCACATCGGGCGGGCACGGTTGTGGAGGACATGGAGCCGACATTCCGCACAGGCCCTGTCCTCTCGTAGACAGGCCACTTACCCTCCAAGTCATCCGGTGCCATGTCACGCCATGCAACCATGCAGTGCGATGCTGCGTTGCTAGGCTTTGTGGTGCAATGCTTCACTACGCAATGCCACGCCATGCTATGACATGCTCTGCTCTGCCGTGTTCTTCTACGCCATGCTTTCCCATCCATCGCGTACCCTCTTGGGATCATTGCCCTGTTCGACATCCGACTGTGCGAATAGATAAGAGATGTACGTCATGGTAAGTAAGAAATGGGAGGGAAGGGTAGGACGTCAGATGTGACGCTAGCGCACCTAGCTGATCCCCCCCCCTCCATCCCTGCTTTCTTCTCGGAAGCGGGGGAAGGAGAGGAGGGAAGAAGAGGGACGAAGAGGAGGGAGGAGGAGGAGAGGAGTAACCAGTGTAAACCTAAGATTCATCAGGGATAATGCAATCAACCCTCCCTCCAGATTCCCTCTTCATAGGCCCCTGCAAGGATTGATTCTCATTGAAAGACGTGCCCCGTTAAAAACAACCTTCTGAAATTCCTGACCTGTACCAGAACAATATTCCAGAGACTTTAACGCCACGGATCACCGATACAGTTACGTCTTGACGATGTTTCAATTTGCCAGAACACAATTCCTGGGACTTCAACGCCGCGAATCAACGTGACTGTTGCGCCTTGACAATCCGACATCGTGCCAAACCATTGCTGGAACGTGAACCATGATAATCTTGAAACTGCTGTAAACTCTAAGAACGAATGTGCGCGTCGCTAGAGCTATAGCCACATTTTGAGAATGACCCACCCTCCATTTGTGAAGCGCCTTCAAACTTTTTAAACGAATGTGCGTGCTAAGGCGAGAACCACATTTTGAAAACGGCCCGCCCTACATCAATGAAACTCTTGCGAACGTTTAAGACGAATGAGCGCGTCGCTGAAATGCGAGAGCCACACTTTGAAAACGATCCGCCCTCCATCTGTGAAACCCTTGCAAAGTTAAAAAAAACGAACATGCGCGGCGCTAAATCGAGAACCACATGTTGAAAAACGCACCATCCTCCATCCGTGAAGAAGTTGTGAATTCTAAGCTCCAAGATCTCAAGCAGCGAACAAATCTCAGGCGAAATGCCCGGCCCGTCCTTTCGGCAGGCCGTGGGTTGCGGCAGGGAGTAACGACTTGTAAGGAAGGAAGGAGGGGGAAATGGAGGAGGAGGATGAGGGGGAGGACGAGGGAGAAGGAGGAGGAGGGGGAGGATTAATAATGAGGATGATGATGATGATGATGATGAGGAGGAGGAGGAGGAGGACAAGGGAGAGTGGGGGTCAACGACGCGTCTGCGAGCGAGTGGAACGTGAGATGTACAAGGACACCATGTGCGCGGCGCTAAAATGAGAACCACATTTTGAAAACGGCCCGCCCTTCATCCGTGAAGCTCCTGCAAACTTTCAGCGTACAGAACATACATGGTGATGTCTCTGGCGAAATGCCCGGCCCGCCCTACTGACACGACTCGGGGTGCGACCGGAAGTAGTTATACATATATATATTTATATATATATCTACATATATAAGGAATAGGGATCGAGGTTGGGGTGGGAGACGGAGGAGGAGGAGGAGGAGGAGGAGGAGGAGGAGGCAGGAGAGGAGGAGGAGATGGGAGGAGGAGGAGGAGGAGGAGGAAGAAGACACAGCGGCACCGCGCCGCGCCAGCAGTCCCGCTCGAGTAAGGACGGCCTCGCCGCCATCAACGCGGAGGACGCCAAGCAAGAGCGCTACCCGCCCGAGGGGGGCAAACTCATCCCTGCGGTCTTCGAAACAGGGGGCCGCCCGGGACACGCCACCGTGGCGTACGTCCGCTCATGGGGCCACGACGTGGCCCCTGCGGAGCGGACAGAGGTCATCCGAAATGGCTGGCAGCAGTTGAGCACGCGGTTGCACCTTGGAAACGCCGAGGCCATCTTGGTGGCCGTGGGGCGGTGAGAGCGCTACCAGGAGCACGCCGCCGAGAGGGCGCGCCGCGCGCAGCAGCTCTGGGGCCGCCAGCAGCTCCACAGCGTCCGGGGCGGCCGTGAATCGCAGCCACCACCCCCATGGCGCCCACTACTGCGACGGGGTGCTCCAGCGGCCACAGCCACGCCCACCATGACCACCGCCGCGGCTACGACCAGCACGACCGCCACCACCGCGACCACCGGCACGAGCACCACCTGCCTGACCACCACGACCCCCGACACAACCACCGCCACCAGCACGACCACCACGACCGCCCCCGCCCCCCGCTCCCCTTTCCCCCTCCTGCCGGTCCGCCCCTGCTACTGCGCTGGCCTTTTGCCTCTCCCCCTCCTCCTTCCTTCTCCTCGTTTTGGCTCTGGGTCCAGATTTTCAGAGGCAGGGCGAGCTTTTCTCACAGATTCTGGGCGCGGCTGCGCCGAGTGTGCGTGCACAGGGCGGTGGCGGAAGTGGCTTCGACCAAAGGGGATGAACCACCCACCCTGTGCCGACGCGCCTGGCCCTGGTGGACACGCACCTCAAAGCTAGGTGCATGCCGGGGTTGCGGATCAGGAAGAGGAGGAGGAGGAGGAGGAGGAGGAGGAGGAGGAGGAGGAGGAGGAGGAGGAGGAGGAGGAGGAGGAGGAGGAGGAGGGGCGGAGAGGAGGAGGGAGGAGAGGAGGAGGAGGAGGAGGGGCTCCTCTGTTCCTCCTCCTCCCTCTTCTTCTTCCCTTTTCTTCCGTCCTCTCCTCCCCCCGCCTCCGAGAGAGGAGGGAGGGAGGGAGGGAGGGAGGATGATGCGATTGACGAGGTGGGTGGGGGGAGGAGGAAGGGGAGGAGAAGCAGGAAGAGTTCCTTGAACCCCTCTGGCTGAGCGGCCCCCCCCCGCCCCCCTTCACTGTCCAATATGTTCGCGTCGTAGTAGCTCTGGATGCCCGCACGGGCGGGCGCCACCGCGGCAGCCGCCATCGCGGGCTGCGCGACGGCGGGCCCCCCCCTCGGGGGGGCGCCGAATTGAGGGGGGAGGGGGGGGCGGCGCAAGGCCTGGCGCT